ACTCCTTTCCCTATAGGCACTACTGTTACCATCACTAATACTACTCTTTCCAACACAATTACTCCTTTCCCTATAGGTACTACTGATGTTGGCACTAGTATTGCTATGCCTATTACAATGACTCCTCCTCCTATGAGTACTGTGAGTGCTAACTCCAATACTACTGTTTCTAATATAACTACCCATTACCCTACAAGTAGTGTCGATGCCAGCATGAATACTACTATTTCTAATACAACTACTTCTTCCTCTACTAGTACTACTGCCATTAGCACTAATACTACTGCTTCCAAAATAACCACTCCGTTCCTGACAGGTACGTCTGATGCTGGCACTGGAACTTCTATGCCTAGTATAATGACTCCGTCTCCTATGAGTACCATAAATGCTAACTCTGATACTACTGTTTCTAATGGAACTGCTCCTTTACGTACAAGTACTAATGTTTCTAACACAATTCCTCCTTCTCCCACAAGTACTATTGATAGTAGCAGTAATACTGTGGTGTCTCACACAGCTACTCCTTCCTCTACACGTACTGCTGGTGCTAGCCCAGGTACTCTTTCTAATCCAGCTCCTCCTTCTCCCATAAGTACTGTTGATGCTAGCAATAACACTGCTGTTTCTCATTCAACAATTTCTTCCTCTACAATTGCTTCTGATGCTAGCACCAATGTTACTGTTTCTAGTCCAACTACTCCTTCCCTGATAAATACTATTTCTGAAAGAACGACTCCTTCTCTCACAAGTAATACTACTGTTTCTCAGACAACTCCTCCTCCTCTGATAAATACTACTGATAGTAGCATTGATACTGCTTCTAATGCAACTACTTCTTTGCTCACAAATTCAGCTGATACTGGCATTAATGCTACTGTTTCTAATTCAACTACTCATTCCCTTATTGGTAGTATGGATTCTAGCACGAATAATACTGATTCTGATACAACTGTCATTTCCTCTACAAGGAACACTGATTGATAGCAGTGCTAGTACTATTATTAATATTTAAATCTCCCTCTCACACAAGTATTGCTGCTGTTCAGACTCAAAATACTGATCCTATCACGGTCTCCTACAAATGCTGGTGCTGATACTACTGGCAATAATTTCCTTATCACAACTCCTTTTTTCTCTGCAAGTACCAATTCTGCGAACCCTGTTGTTGCTATGTAACTGTTTCTTCTATAAGTTTTGATGTTACCTTCGCTAATACAAAGTCTCTTTCTCTACCATGTCTAACGTTAGTAATGACTATAATGATTCCTTCTTCTCCTACTAATACTCACCCTGCTAATTACACTCTTTATGGTATTACTCTCCTTTTTTTTACAAGCACAAGTGCTGCTGACACGAGTATTATTGTTCCTATTTTGACCTCTCTTACTTCTTCAAGTACTCATGATGTTAGTGAAAGTGTCACTATTTCTAACACGACTACTACTTCCACCACTCGGTCCTCTCCTCCCATATCTACTCCTAACTTTAGTGCATCTATTTTGAGCCCCTTTACAACAAGTAGTACTTTTTCTTACTATACCTACTACAGCAAATACCACTCAAGTCAACACTCCACGTACACAAGGTCTTATGATAATAGATGCTAGAGCTACTGCTACCAATACAGCTACAACAGTTCCTTCCTGCCACAGAAAAGTGGACTGCATAAATCAAACCTGCCATAACAGATTCAACAGTTCACCCTCTCGAGTGGGAATAACTGCCACCTCCCACGGCACCATGTTAAATACTATCACCACCCATGCGTTCACTCTCACAGATAAAGACAATGGGACCTCTTCCACCATAACAAGCTCAGTAAATAGACTCACTGCAAAGAGAACAACTATTGGTGCAGTTTGCTCCATGGATATTACCTTTGCTGCAGTGGCTGTCACAGACACGTCTTTCTCTATTATGCAAAGCTTTCTTTCTTTTCCCATGGTAGGCCTTGTAAATACTATGCCAGAGATGCTCAAAAGGCCACAACAGACCTTACACACATCAGTGCTTCCCATTTTGCTGTTACTACAATGTACACCTCAAGTCACACAAATGTCTCCCACCTCCACCAAATGTCCCAGATGCAGACACAATTGAGACCCTAATCCAAGCACGCCAGCTACTGCTCTGGAATCAGTTACTGTAAAAGCAAACCCACCACCATTGGGACAATTCCAACTCATAGTGACCCTTTAAGACAGTAGGACTTCTGAGATAACAGCAGCAAGAGATCTTTACAGAAGCCGCCGTGGGTTAGAACAACCAACCTTTCCATTGGCAGCCAGACACTTAACCCACTGTGCCACCAGGGCTCCAACTACCACTAGAGCTATCTATCCCCATTTCAACACAAAAATGAATTGAATTGAAAAATTCAATTACTATTTCTATATATGCCTTGGAAACATTGAGGTTCCAAGTGATACAGCTATCCTTGTCCCAGGCACCTAAGTCAGCACAGGGCAGGCTGTCAGAGCTACTGATGGAGATGGCTCCAGAGAAGTGCAGATAACCCCACTCACATTTCGAATCCACAGACCACAGTGGCCTCAGATACGTTAACTCCCACTACTCTACATAAGGTGTCTTGGCATGGCGCTGTGGGTTAATGCGCTGGACTGCAAAGTTGACTTGAACCACAAATTCAGTGGTTCAAACTCACCAGCCACTCCTCAGAAACCCTATACAGAGTTGCTATAAGTCGGAACCAACTCAGCAGCACTAAACAACAACACAACTCTTTACACACAGTGACCCACCCTTAAGTAACAAATTCTACTAGCAGCCATTTGCCTATGATTACAACAAATGATTCATAGATATTACAGATGTCACCACTTATTGTTCAAACACTGCCACTTCTGACAGAACAAGCAGGGATGTTTGCTACTACCGCCTTTAGATACATTGCAAATGGCACAAACGTCAATTGCGTTCCTTGATCATTCCAACTCAAGGCAGTACAATCACTACAGATGTTAACTCTTTGAAACAACGATGGGAACTATAGGACATTATCCAAAGATACCTTATTTTAATCTTTAAAATAAACTTCTGCTGGTATTAGTATTCATCCTGATTCAACATTTACCCTTGATCCTTTCTTAAATTCTAGACTCCTGGCCATAATCAAACACAACTTGTTATTTTTGCTGTTGAGTCAGTTCCAATACACAGCAGCAATCTGCACAACAGAAGGAAACACCGTCTGGTCCTGCCTCACAATTGTTAGATCTCAGTCCCCTGCTGCTGGTACTGTGACAATCCATCTCATGGGATGATGGTGGTGTCTTCCTCTTTTTCTTTAACCCTCCACTTTACCAAATATGATGTCCTTCTTCATGAACTGGTCTTTCCTGTCCTGATAACATGTCTGCAGTATGAGGATGAAGTGTCCCCATCCAGGTTTCTATGGATCATTATGGCAGTAATTCTTCCTAGACAGATTTGTTTGTTTTTCTGGCAGTCCACGGTACTTCCAATATTCTTCACCAACACCATAATTCAAATGAATCAATTCTTCTACAGTTTTCCTTATTCATTGTCCAATTTTTACATTCATGTGAGGTGATTGAAAATACCATGTCTTGGGTCAGGCGCATCTTAGTCCTCAAACTGATGTCTGTGCTCCTGAGCACTTTAAAGAGGTTGTATGCAGCAGATTTGCCCAATGTAATACACCATCTGATTTTTAGCTAATTGGGTGCTATTGAAGTGTACTTCCAGGACAGTCTCTCTCATAGTGCAATGAGGGACCCCTGAAGGCCCCAGGACTCTTTATGGGCTCCACAAGGTCAACGCTGTTTCCATAATGATTGTAGTTGTTGATCAGTACAGTGAGTCTGCTCTGACTTTGGTGAACTCATGCATAACAGAATGAAATGTCGCCCGATCCTATGCCATTGTTGTATTCACTGCATCAACACGTGTCGTGAAGGGTTTCTGTTTTCCACTTCGTCATGATACTAGGTTGTTAATTACCTTCCTCATTCTCATGGCTCATGAGTAGACATTTCCCAGAGACGTCTTGATATGTGTTCCCACAATGGATGACTACACAGATATAGGACTGTAGGATCATGCTTTTATCCCATTGTATGCTCTCCTTCTCACCGAATCTTACTTTTTGCTTTGGAAGTGGTTATTTTTCATACAAATATGTTATTTATATAACATGCAGAGTGTTGGTTGTTGTTCTTAATGAATTAATAAATGTTTTACAAATTATTCTTTTATAATTTTGGATATAGTAATTAAAAGATGTAATCCACATCAGCAAAGAACTTCAGGGTCTTCAATGATTTTTAAGTGTGTAAAGGAGAATTGAGACCAAAGAGTTAAAGCTACCTCTTTAAACAATAAAAACTCTGTTGCCAGTAAGTTGATTCAGACTCTTATGGGCCCATGAATTACTAAGCACTACAAACTCCATAGAGTTTTCTTGGTTGAAATCCTTTTTTTTTTTTTTAAAGCTTTTATTGTGAATTGTGTGATCATTTACATGGGAGAACATCAGCTTTACATTCATCCTATCATATATCGTTTCATTGCCATGGTTACAATCCCCTCCATGCATCATCAAACAACAAAAGGGTATATCCCGCAAGCCTACACTCGGCCATCAGCACACAGCCCCTCTCCCTCCCTGAGTCCAGAGTCCACAGCTGCTCCATCTCTCCAAGTCATCGTCTCTGCCTCCATCTCTGGCATCACTGCTTCTCTGGGTAGGGTCCCGCACTCTGCTCTTCTCCCTTGATGGTCCCAGGGTCCTCCGCTCCTAGACTGCAAAGTCAATCACTCCCCTCCTTTTGCTATAAAACATCTACATTTACATTTCCAACCCTCACAGTCAGTCCTGATAACAATTATTCACTATTGAACCACATGAGTGCTATCCCCATCTCCTTTCATCAGCCCCATCCAGACAGGTTGGAAGCCACTCAGTGGAGATTCTACCTTCCTCTGCACCCTCTGGAACTAGGCTCCCTCTTGAAAGCTTGTAAGCCAGTCACTTCCATGCCTTTGTAGCCTCTCCCGCCACCGCCACCCATTTTGGGTAGCCAATGTCCAAGTTGACTTGGCTGAAATCTTGACAGAAGCAGATCACCAGTCAGTTTTCACATGGTGCCACTGCATGGGGTTGAACTGTCAACTTTCTGTTTGTCAGTTGGTAGCAAAGACAAGTCATTTGTGCCACAGGGCAACAATATCTTAGTGCCATGTGCTGGCCCTTATCAGGTGTACCTTGAACTTGGCATCCAGTAACAATTCCAATATCTATAGTGTAAGATGCAGTCTTCATATGGTGGCTAACATCTACCACCTACACATCTGCCAATCTCTGACCTTTGATGGTGGTTCACAGGAGGCACAGAATCAACCTGTCAATCTGAACAAAGCTGATAGGCCTATGCCAGGGTATATTTGGCTCTTAAATTGACCTTGTGACTCCAAGAGACAAAACCCATAATCCTAAAGTGTCCCCATATACTTAGTCATGGATACTCTCACTTGTACCTTTATGGAGGGAGTTCTGGGGTTCTTGGATTGAGGGAACCACACACTCTGAAGCAAGACCACGTGTTCTTTGGAATGGCTCTCACGGGACTCGGAGCCTGCCTACCACACGAGGGCAGATGAGGTGGCCAAAGGCTGCACTTAAACTGATGCAGAAAGTGTGGTTTGGAAGCAGGTCCAAGGAATCTAGAGGTAACATCAACATGCTTATGCTACAACCAGGGACACATTGTGAAACCTGTATGTAGACCATGGTTTATAAGATCCAGGGAAATCCTGTCAGCATGAAGGAAGATGACAAGCTAGCTTGTTACCTGCAAGCAAGGTAATATCTCATGGTAGAATAGAATTTGCAGGACAAGGAACTTGGGTGTGGAAATAGGAGCTCGAGAGTTCCCTTTTGGCCACATTAAATGTGACATGACTCTTAGACATCTAAAAGAAGAGCTCTTACAGAAAGTTGGATGCATTAATGTGGAGATATTGAAGGTATTGAGTGGGGATTCTGATTGGAGGTAAATTCAGAGTCATTAACATATAGATGGGTGCGATGGCTTTGTAGGATAACACTGGGCTGCAAACCACAAGGCCAACCCAACAGCTGCTCTGCAGGAGAAAAATGAGGCTTTCTGCTCACACAAAGATTTACAGCCTTGGAAACCCTATACAGGAGAGCTGTGACTCAACAGCACTTAACAACAAACAACAGCACCCTATAGACAATATTTGAGCCACAAGGCTGCATTATATTAGTTGATGCATACATAATTGTACACACACAGGAGGGTTGAGGCTAGGACGCTGAGGTACTCCAGCACTTGACATCTACCAGAGGAAGGAGTCCTGGTGTGATGCTGTAGGATAAGCACTGGACTGCTAACCTAAAGATCGGGAGTTCAAACACACCAGCTGTACCTTGAAACCTCTTTACAGGGTCACTATGAGTTGACTTGAAGGCACGTACTAACAACACAACAACACAGAGAGAAAGAAGCCTGGTTGTGCACATGACTTGACTGGACTGCTTACCTAAAGGCTGATGGTTTGAATCCAGCCAGTGGCTCCACAAAAGAAAGTTCTGGAGAGCTGCTTCCCTAAAGATCACAGCCAAGAAAACCCTAAGAAAAAATTCTCTGCAACAAATGAGGTGTACGTGAGCACGTCACAACAAGAGGAAAAAATATCAGAAAAGGAGACAGAGAAAAAGTAGCCATCAGTGAGGTAGAAGGAGAAAGGGGTGGGTATGATACACAAGGAGGTGAGATCCAAAACCCTTCTTCACTCCTGTCCTCCCTGACCACTCTGTACCTACACTGTGGCTGAAACAATTGAGCCCTGCCCTCGTGGACGAAGTAGACTGTCAAGAACAATTGACCTTCTAGCTGGGTAGTTCTCTGTCTTGAAAGTGACCTAGAAACACCTGAAGTGTTCACTTACCCACAAATGCTGGGTTTCTGCCCCCTTCAGAGTACTGTTCCCCAACCAAGTGGCTGGATACACCGCCCAGGCTGAGGTCCCTTAGATCTGCTGCATGAGGAACTCCCGTACTCCATCTCAGCTAGCTAACAAGGAGCAGGGATTGGACGGCAATGAGAACTCTACCAAGTAAGCAGCAAGAGGTAATGGTGACACCAGCTTGATGAAGGGCTGAGAGACAGGAATGGCCACTTCTTTCTGCTGCAGCTGGACAAAGGATTCTCCATCTGCACCAGAGAAGAGCTGACTCAGCCGGGTTCGGTGGGTACCCGATTGCTCTCGCAGAGCCTGGCTCGCCTTTCACCCTCCCTGGAAATACATGCCGCTAGCTGCAGTCCATGTGGTGAAGCCAATGGCTCTGGGCCAACGCTCACCGAATGGTTCCTGAGACAGGAAGAGGGGAAGGGGCTTCATTGTGTCCTCTTAGCCCCCTGAATGCCTCCCCAGGTTTCCTCCTTCTTCTGACTGCTCTTTAGTTTTCTCAGATTTGTTTTAACCAGCCCAGGTCTTCCTCCTCTACAGACTTCTGTCTCCAAACTGGCTTTAGCAACATGAAACATCAGAAGCCAATATCTGGAGCTCGTGTCTGGGCAGCTGCCGGGGAGGAGACAGGGTCAAAGTGCAAGGGACAGGCATGCCTTGCTTTGCTTCACAGAGAATTTTCCCAACAGCCTGCTCTCCATTTGTCTCGGTGTCACAGTTTGATCATCATCAAAATATTTCAAACTTTTTTTTATAATGCCTTCAATTCGGTTCCTACCCGTAGTGACCCTGTATAGGATTTCCGAGGAGTGGCTGGTGGGTTTGAACCACTGACCTGAAGGTGGTTCAGTGCATTATGCTGCAGCACCATACCAGGACACCTTAATAGAGTACCCCACATCAAAAAGCAGACCCACAGTTATCCCCTCAATTTGAACTCAGAGGTACAAGTTTTCTGAGACTGTGAATGTTTACGGGAGCACACTGCCTTGTCTTTTCCCTCCATGCAGTTGGTGGGTTTGAACCTATCAGCAGACAGCAGCCCAATACCTCACCCACCGCACTACTAGGCCTCTTTAATAAATTACAGGATAGTGTAAGCATAACTGTTGTTGTTGTTAACTACTGTTGAGCCACTTCCCATGCATACCAACGCTGCATAGGGTTTCCAACAAACAACTGTTGGGTTTGAACCACTGACTGTGGTTAGTAGTCCAATGCATGTTGTACAGAGCTATACCGGGACTCTAACTGTTAATATGTGCTGGGAAAGCTCAAAATAAAAAAATAAACCAACTGTGTGTCTCTCTTTATTGCGAGAATTCACTTTATTGTGGTGTCTGGAGCTCACAGTATCTCTGCAGTATGTCTATAGTCTGAACTGTCCAAAGCCTGGGTACCTGTAGGATGTCATTCCTGGAGCATTTCTACGGTGTCCTTACTGAGCTCCAAGGACAGAGAGAACACTGAAGACATGGTATTGGGAGGAGGGTTTGGTCCTTGTCAAAGGATTTCCTTTTAGGACCAGGTGAGGATGCTACTTCCTTCAGTTTCCTTTGTTCTGAGCCCCACCCCCACCCCAGCCCTATTATTCTTCATCAGACTTCTATTTATCAGAGTCTCTACCTTCTCTGCCATACATGAACACCCCAAGGACTGGGACCCCTAAGACCCAGGCTCCTTCCTGTTCCTGCCGTGCAGTCTCCAGTGGCAAGCAGAAAGACAGAATCCCTAAACCAGACACCAGGAACATTCTCCTTTACCTTTGATGCTCTCCCCTTGTTCCCCCACCCTCATGAGGCCTTTATGTTCGTGTTCTTATCCCACTGGGAAGATCAGGGGCCACTCTAAACATCAGCCTGTGGTTTCTCTTGTCCCCACAGAAGTACAGAGAAAAGTAGTAAGAGGGAATGAGTCCTTTATTTATGTTCCCAATGTGCTCTGAGGTTTCCAGTAGAGGAGGTGGGTTGAAAGGGAATGTCATCCCCAGCTGGTATGGGGTAGCTTCAGTCAGCTGGAAGGAGGAGCATGGGAGGGTCTGTGTCTGCCAGGGGGTGAGGGTTCTGTTATAGGGCACAGGGTCAGTCTCTAGCCTGTAGGGTGATGAGGAGCCATGAGAGAGCCCACTGTGTGAACAGGAGGGTCACCGGTGGGAGACCTTTGGGGGCAGTGGTGCTGGAACTGGAAAGGACCAATGGGCTGGCCCTGAAACCCGCAGGGGTCTTGTCCTGGGGCTCCACCTTGCCGCCAGTGGACTCCAAGCAGGGCCCCCGGGGAGTAGGGAGGATGTCTCGGATCCAGCCTGTTGTATTCTCCACCACCTCCTGCGGGGCAAGGACAGGGGTGAGGGTGGAAGCACCTGACCCCATTCTTTTCCTGAGACCCCAACTGGCCACCCCTAGCCCACCCACTCAAACCCCAGGGTGGCAACAGTGCCCTCTGCTTCGTCAGACCCTCCTATTCCAGCCATGTTGCCACCACTGCCATGTAACCCCTCCTTCATCTTTGGTCTCACCACCTGTCCCACGTGGGTCAGTCTGAGGACACTCACATCAATGGTCTTTATGATCACTGTCTGCTGAGCCTCCTTGCAGGCTTTCTCTGCCTTCTTAATGCTCTCTGGGGTCCACTCAACGTTGTTCATGGCCATCATGCCCTCCATGGAGCTGACATGAACAGGAAGGGGGGAGCAGATGGCAGTTCAGGGTCAAATGTCCCTTGGGCAGGATAGGTGCAAAACCACCCTCTCTTTTGTTAGCCTCAATTCTGTGTTGGTATAGATCAGGAAGCAGGTCTCACAACTTCATGAGACAATTGTAGTGAGTTTGACTAGAGGGAAACATCATTAGAGCTCAGAGACAGAAAAGGAAAAACCAAGTGAAGGAGATCTTTTCATCAAATCTGGAACCACTGGGTTCCAGGAAGCTTGGTGATTGACTTTCTTGTTATTTACTGCTTTTGAGGTGGTCCCAACATATAGTGACTCTGTATAGGGCTTTTAAGGAATAGCTGGTGAGTTTGAACTACCAACATTTTGGTTAGCAGTTCAGTGCTTATCCTATAGCAGTACACCAGGACTCTGTGGTAGACTCTGTGGTTGGCTTTGTTGTTGTTGTTACGTGCCATCGAGTCAGTTCCGACCCATAGCGACCCTGTGTGGGGTTTCCAAGGAGTGACTGGTGAACTTGAACCAGCAAGCTTGTAGTTCAAATGGCTTTGCAGTCTGGCGCATTAACTCACAGAACCACACCAGGACTCCAGGGACCTTCAAATGTCCTCAGATTGTGTGTGAGATTGAGATATGCTGGCACTGATGAGCATTTTTTAAGGGGAAGAAGTTTCTGCTCTCTGATTAAAGTATCAGAAAGGGTAATTAGCCTCATGACTGAGAATCACAGCTCAGACAATCACGTACATAAGAGGCAGAGACTTTATACGTGGCTGGTCTGATAGCTCAGAATCAGCTCTTATCTGCCTCTCTGATTGGTCCTGCTTATGTGGAGAAACGTCCAAGTTCCCACCTGGTGTCAGCTGACAGTCAGAAGTGGGGTGGGATAACAAAGATAAAGGTATCAGGCAGCCCTTGGGGGAGCCCAGCATGGAGGCCAGTGGGAGGTTCTCCTCTCCCCGCTTCCCTCATGCTCCTCAGTCCCTTCCCTGTATGCCCAATGACCTGCATCCCAGGCTGACTCACTCGGATGCCTCTTCCCCCAGCTCGTGGGCCACATAGATGATGTCAGGATAGCCCATGCAGCTGGAGATGTTGTTCCGGGGGTAGTAGAAGAGGAAGACGAGACACATCTCATTGATGGTGCTGGGCCCCCCCTGAGGAAGGGAGACACAGAGAGACGAAGGGATGTAGGGAGAGGGGCAGGCTGAAAACAGACAAGGTGGACCTTCTGCCAACCATGCTGTTCCTGCCTTCCCTTCATCTAAGGGCAGCATAGCTCTTGTTCCTTACTATGCTACCACACCTCCTTTCCAAGGAGGTAACCCACAGAGCTCTCTGTCCTCTACACCTCCACAGTCACCACCCTAGTTCCACAGGGAGCTCTGATAGCGTAGTGGTTATGAATCAGGCTGCTAGCCTCAAGGTCGGCAGTTCGAAACTACCAGCAGTTTCATGGGAGAAAGATGAGGTTTTCTGTTTCTGTAAAGATTTGCAGCCACGGAAACCCTGTGCAGGGTCACTATGAGTCGGAACCGACTCCACGGTACTTAATAACAACTTAACAACAACAACAACCAACTTCTTCTAGTGTGGTGCTGTAGGCTAATGTGTCAGACTGCAAAGCTGTTGGAACTGCAAGGTTGGCTGTTCAAGCTCACTAGCTGCTTCTCGGAAACCCTATACAGGGTCGTTATGAGTCAGAATCGACTAGATGGCACTTAACAACAACAACCAGCTTCTCCCAGTCAGTTTGAAACTAGCAGCCATTCTGCAGGAGAAAGATGAGGATTTCTGCTCCCTTAAAGAGTTCCAGCCTCGGAAACCCTATGGCAGGGTCTCTATGAGTCAGAACCAACTCCATGGCATGTAACCACCACCACCAACTTCTCCTGGTTGTCTTCTATGAACCCCAGAGCTGCCAGATGAATTTGCTTAAAGTGCACCATGGTTCCTTTCATCTGCCCATCCAGAAACTCCCAGTGGCTCCCACTAGCTCACTGAACCTTTGGCAGACATGTACAATATGTGCACACCCATAGCATGGTGGTGGTGGCAGTGTGCCGTGGAGTTGGTTCCGACCCATAACAACCCTATATAGGGTTTCTGAGGCTGTTAAGTCTTTACAGGAGCAGAAAGCCTCGTCTTTCTTCTACAGAAGAGCTGGTAGTTTCAAACTACTGACTTTGAGATTAGAAACTCGATTTGTAACCACTACACTGCCATATAAACTCATGTGTTTCTAGCTGTATCGGGGGTCCTGATGGTGCCAACAGTTAATGAGAGGTTGGAGATTCAAGTCCACCAGAGGCTACTTGGCAGGAGGCCCTGGAGATCTGAAAACATTAGTTATTAAAACCCCCATATAGTATGGTTCTACTCTGACACACATGGGGTTGACTCAGTGGCAACTGGCTTCTGTCTGTCAATCTATCTATCTATCTATCTATCTATCTATCTATCTATCTATCTATCTATCTATCCATCCATTCATCCACCCATCCATCCATTCATCACATCTATCTG